GCTTAGGGAGAACAGGACGTCGGATGGATAAATCCATCATGAAATTGCAACAGCTTTTATTAATCACTTACGGAGATGGCACGCCCACATTTTCAGGTCGGGTTTGTAGTACAGAAAAGGTGCTGGGAGAGACGTAGTGTGCCTGCCACTTACACATGTGCATTAATGCCAACATTTGAGGGACGACCCAGAATATGTGCCCAAAACGATGGGACATTACCGCAGCATCTGTTCACTGAAGAAAAGATTCCGAGAATAAGCAAAAGTATAGAGCTGGATTTTAAACTTGCGGAGACAAGGTGATAATACATGAGCAACTTAATTCAGTCTTCTCATTTTTATTAATTCCAAGCCACAAAAAGAATTTGCCTCTTTCGGCGCACTACTGTTTTCTAAAAGATCGAGAGGTAATGTGTGGCGACGTCCGTAGCCGCCCTACTGAGGGCGTGTCTCTGCCCCGTCTAGGTTCTCTGCTAGGTTTGATTTCCGGACGTACGACGCGGAGGGGGTCATCCTGTGCGCGGAGTCCCTCGACCACTCCTCCTGGCTCCTGATCGCCCTTCGGGACGGAAAGCTTGAAATTCAGCTCAAGAATGAGTTTACAAGCCAGATCACGTCTGGAGGCACTGCCATCAATAACGGAGTGTGGAATATGGTGCGTGGTGAGGACTGCGCAGGGCCGAAATTATATATATATTATATATATAATTTCTCTTTTTTAATAAAATTACATTTTATTTCTATAAGGATAGCAAACAAAAAGGTTGGGTTATCTAATGTTGTGCAGTCTATTTTCCATGCTCTAAATCCCAGAAACAGCCTGAGAATGATACTCTCACTTAATATACTTGGAATTTGCTGCAACTAACGTTGCTTTCAGCTATTTGCTTGTGGCTGTCATTGGGCAAACAACGAATGGTGTCTTTCCTGTGGGTTAGGGATCCCCAGCAGGCATAACAGTTTATTGAAAAGATACCTCTGATCAAGGAAAGCTACCCTCATTTGCCATGGATTATTTCAGGTTTTTTTTTTTTTTTAATGTATTTGGTACGGGGTCTCATTTCGCAGCTGGGACTCGTAATGATCTTTCTGTTTTCAGCATCCTCAGCATTGAGATTACAGATGTGCATCACCTTGCCAGGTCTCAGTGGCTGGCTTAGCGTGGCTGGGAGTGGGGCTGACACAGCATGTGTCAGGGATCAAACTCCGGTCCCTGTGCTTGCCTAAGCAGGCACTTATTCTGCTGAGCTATCTCGCTGGCCCTGCCTTGGATATTTAAAAAAGGTACTGTGAGGGCTGGCCAAATAGTTCAGTGGATTAAAGTGCCTGCAAGCAGGCACAGGGGCTGGGGGTTCGATCCCTGGGCTTGCTATGCCGGCAAGCCTGCGGAGCATGCTGAGATGGCAATTGAGACTGGGCGTGGTGGTGCACACCTGTAATCCCAGCCCTTGGGAGGCTGTAACCAAGTGGATCACTATGAGTCTGATCTAGTAGAGAGACCCTGAACACCCTGTACATCCTTCCCTAAAATATATTTTAAAAAAGTACTATGAAAATATATAGTAACAAAGTCAAATGTTAATTTAAATTTATATCTAAATTTTATTTTATTTTATTTTATCTTATTTTTTAACCAGGGGTTGAATTCAGGATCCTGTGCTTGCCAGGCAGTCGCTTGAGCCACTGAGCTATCTCGCAGATCCTTAATTTGATTTTAAATTTAAGTATACAGATAAGTAATAAATTTTGTACAAACAGCATACAGCAGTGGGTACCAGAGTGTTTAGGATATTTTGATATGTCCTAAAAATATCATTTCCTTAAAAAATTGCAGTCATTTTTTAAAAAATGCAACCGGAATCAAGTGGAACATTTTCTGTAGAAAAGATTACTGCTCATCAACAAGGGAAAGTCTTTTCTGCAGTAGTCATTGCTGCTTGCTGCAAAATATAGCTGCAGAAAGAACCACTTCTCTTTGCAATGCAGTACTCAAGAGAAATGCGTTCTGCACCTCCAGGGGCAGGCAAGGGCTGTAGTGAGAAGCGTGGGAGTCCTCACCAGTTATCGTATCCCTTCACTGGCCCGCTCAAGCACTTATTTATTCAGTATGCTGCTATTGAACACTTACAAATTGCTGTGTTTCTGACTCCAAGGCACGAGAGCTGTCACTTTCCTGGCTCTGGAGCTCTAAACTCCCAGCTTAGTAGCTGACGCTGTTTTATGAACTCATGAGTGTGACGTGGAAGACCTTGGAATAGGGGAGCAGAGCTCAGGTGTGCATAGCTGACAGTCCCTTCCGGGAGCTCTTTGTCCTCGAGCAGTGGTTGAGTGTAGACTCCTAAGCCCACAGGCACGGTGTCTGTGCACACGGACGGTGCAGTGTTCTGAGGCATTCTAAAATTGTCTGGCTCCTCTCTCAGTCTCTGTCTCTGTCTCAGTCTGTCTCTGTCTCTGTCTCTGTCTCTGTCTCTGTCTCTGTCTCTGTCTCCTCTCTCTGTCTCTGTGTCTGTCTCTCTCTCTCTCTCTCTCTCTCTCTCTCTCTCTCTCTCTCTCTCTCTCT